GCAGGCAGTCCATTGACAGCTGAAGATTTTCAAGTATTAAAAATAATCCTTATATATAAAATTATGCTACTATTGAGCATCTAAAAATGGGGCACTTGCTATAAAAATCTATACAATTCCTCAGCAGTTAATGAAATACTTTTGTTAAACCTCTTAAAGCTTAAAGTTTGCACTTCAATCACATCTTTATTGTTTGATTTCAAATCCACTGTGGTGGTATAAAACAGCGCTCCCCGACCTTTTTTTGCACCACGGACCGGATTATGTCCGACGATATTTTCACAGACCTTTAAGGTGTCACGGATAAATACAACAAAATAAAACCAGTAACAATATTTCACACCTGAGCCTCAACTCTCGCAGCCTGGTACCAAACGACTCACAGACTGGTATCGGCCCGTGGCCCGGGGACCGCTGATATAAAAGGTAAAACTACAAACACAAACAAAAATAAATAAATAAATACCTGAAAACACTTGGTTTGGTTTAACCCTTTGCCAATGTGTCTTGATGCATCTACTGATCAGAATATCCTTTGGCTGGGTATTTCTTATCATGAGATTTTGCACAGGAGGAATTGATGAAGAGGCCAATCGCAGTAGTTCTGGTCTGCGTCGACCTGACGTGTGGTTACATTTCTAGACAGGAGAACGTCAGGTTACGCTGTAGGTTATGGCATCGGGCAGGGGTGGGAAGTCCAGGCCTGAAGGGCTAGATGTCACCCTGGGTCAACACACCTGAATCTAATGATTTGTTCATTACCAGGCCTCTGGAGAACTTCAAGACATGTTGAGGAGGTAATCTAGCCATTTGAATTAGCCGTGTTGGATCAAGGACATCTAAAACCTGCAGGACACCGGCCCTCGAGGCCTGGACTTCCCCAACCCTGGCACGGGGTTTGAGAGGCGTTTGTGGTTACGATGTAGCTACAGCATACATTTCATACTGAAGCATAAATCTCCAGTTAGACCTCTAAAACCAAAGCGAAATGAACAAACCCACTCTGGAAAATAGCTGAAACTAAACTGGACTCACAAAAGAAATGACAAAGAAAGTAAAAATCAAAAGTAATAAAAAATGATTATATAAATGATTATATTCTCATGACTTCTATCATAGGCAGTTTTCCAGACACGGTTGAAGTCTAGTCCCAGAAGAAAAGAAAAATTCAATGAAGATCTCTACCAAAAAAAACCAACCAAAAAACAAGTTTATGGTCTCACAGCAGGCCTAATCCAAGTCAGGGAAACGGAGAACTATTCTCTTTCAGCATTTTGATTTGTGTCTGTTGAAGCTCAGATCAGTGATCTGTGCAGTTTGTGGAATCTCATCTTTCTCGTGATGACGGATGTGACAGACATGCAGTTTAATTTACATAACCAAGGTCCTCCAGCTTGAAGGTTAAGCATCGCTGGAAGCCTGTGGCTGCTTGATAGCAGTTCTCACCACCCACAGCGTGACTCTGAAGAGAAGAATTGGTGGGTATGGATGTATTTGCATTATTCTTGCCTTCTGTGACAACAGTGCTGTGAGAGCTGCACTGTTGATCGTCAAGTTAGGTTCTTGTAAGGACTCAGAAGGATGAAAGTGATTGCCCTTGAAAAGTCACAGATTCAAAATCTCCCACAGGCTGCCCTCATCAGTGTGCTCAGAAGACTGTGCAGTCCTTGGACCCCAAGGAAAGGAAGCAATGAAGAGGCTCAGCCTTTGTTGCACTCTGCTTTTCTATAAAAGATGATTTTAAGATTCCCGTCGACAGATATTTTCTGCCGGCCATACCCCGTTCCAGAATGATTATTTAAACAAATAGTGGGAATTAGCAGGATCTTACTTAAGGGGAGCTGTGATACTTGTGTAATACTTGTGTTAAGCTTCATTAACTAACCATTGACATTGAGCTTCAAGGCTGAATTCCTCATGAGAAGGCTCAGACAGAAGAAAATCGCTGCCATTCTCAATGAGGTTTTAAGTGACTCTTCTGATTTGGTGCTGAATTTCAGCACTTGATCACAGCCAAACATCTCTACAATGGTTCAGATACACGCTATTCTGCTATTACCGCCCTATCGAGTGTTGGCACAATTACTTCGTGGGCTGCATGAGATGGCTCTGAATCACTATCAGTCACCATCACACATCCCGTTTGTGTAGGGCCAGAAAATCTGATAAGGTTTGTTTAGCCTTACTTTGTACATATTGTTTGATATTCAGCAGCCACACAAGCAAATACTATTTATCATTCATTCACTATTAAACTGCTTTTGAGTTTTATTGCTTGAGCTGCGACTGAAGTCTATTAAATGCAAGTTTCGGGAGTATTTCTGTGCTGCTAAAGATAAAAAGTAGCTCCCTTTTGATATTTAATGAGACAGGTACAGTAAGCCTTCAGCTATAGCCAAGGAGCTCAAAACTTTTTGATAGTCCAAGGAAAGTTTTCCATATTTACAATGTTTTAGCAGGAAAGTTAACCTGATTTTTTATTTACATTAAATTTATGTTGTTGAAATCAAACCAAAAAAAGTTTCCTCTTCACTGGGTGTACATCAAAACAACTGGAAGAAGAAAGGAAAGTGTTTAAAGGCTTTTGCAACTTTCTGGCACTAAAGGCATCTCCAGTGTTCATGGTTAAGAAAATATATAAAAACGAAATATTTGGATTTTTCAGTTGAAACTGGATTCTTCTCTAAAACTGAAATTAAACAGAAGAAGCACTAGTTAGTTATTTGTCATTAAAATTAATGTCTTTTCTACAATCAACCCGCCTGTGGCAAGAAAACAGAACTAATTTACCACATGTTGGTGGGCTCAAGCACAGCAACACAACAATTCACCATTAAAAGTTGGAACCACTCATGTCGGATACTATGGAAGGGAATAACTACAAAATTCCAGATGTTCCACAGAAGCAGCCAGCAGATTCAATCACTATTTCCTTTCAATAAAAAAGTATTTAAAAAGAATCCCAACATTAAAAATAATGCTGATTCTGAAAGGGATAAGGGCCTTTGAACGAGTGAAAAAAGAAAAATAAACAAATACTACTGGGAAGGACTATTTTCTATACTAACAGGGAAGTCTATGTAAATGAGAACATAATTAAACTGATATACCAAATATTGGGATATAACATCCGATAATTTGGAATATCGGCTTTTTAAATCACTAAATATCTGTATCTGTCCTAAAAATGTTGTAATTCAAATTTTAAAGCGATTAAAATTACAAATTTAAAGCGGGAGAGGTGGAAACTGGGGTCCTGTTAAATCTAAATCCTATGCCTTATGATAGATATCCCATCATCCTATTATTGTTCCTTTTTTTTTTTTATCTTCAACAATTTTTATTTAATTTTGAACTCCAATAACAAAACAGAAAACAAACAGACAAAAAAAGTTATCATATTCTTTCTTCTATTATTCCTTTTTTTAATGTTACTGATTGTCTCTCTACTGTATTCAGGCTTTAAGTTAATAACACACATGTACTGAAGAAAAAAAGAAAAAACCACATAGAAAACAAGACGTGTTCGTGATATTTACTCTAACTTTTTATTTATTTTAATTTAAACAGAAATGACTATTACTCAGACAGTTTTAGGCTTAAACCTACATTAGGCTGTAGTCTCTAATAAACTTAAAGCTAAGTAAGTGTGTGCTTCATTTCTCTGTCTGTGCATGAAGCAAACAGCGTACTCACAGTACAAACTGACACGATGGACATCAAAACGCATCATTCACCAGTTCACCTTTCCACCAGTAGAGCGCAGCCAAGACACACACAAATCCCACTACTGTGCTCACACGACTGATTCAGTTTCATATCACTAATCCAAGGCACTAACTAATTTATGAAAACCACTTTTCAAAAAAAGAACCATGGGGAGGCCAAAAAACACCTGTGGTCATTAATTATGCTACAACAGTGAGTTTAACTGTGGAAAAGGTAGCAGCTTATAAATTATGCCATGCTGCCCCAATTCACAGACTCGTCCAGATACGTCTGTGTCCTGGCTGAAGAGTACTTCCCATCCAAAAGTGGAATATTTATGCGGAATGCTTTGTTCTTTGACGGCATACAGACAGCTGAATTTCGGATTCCAGTGCACACCTCTGTGTGAAACCTTTCGTCGGATTCATTGTCTAAGTTTTACAGGTTAATTGTAAGTACTGCTGTAATACAATGTTGTGCTGGTTGCAGAGGGAACTTGAGGTTTTGTCAAAGCATGAAAATTTAATTTTTTGATGTACCACAAAAAAGGTTCTGAAAGACTTGCCAGTGGTGTTTGTTTTTCAGAGGAAAGTAGTCAAGCTGGAGGCCAGGTTAATGCAGCTGATATATCAGAAACCACTTTAGGCTACGTTTACCAGCCAAATGGAAGAACAAGCAAAAAGAAAAAGAAAAAAAAGTCAGCTTTAGCTGCTAAAATGTTTCCTCAGTGCAGGAATGTGGCACGCAGGCCTTTTTCTAAAAGACTCTTTTGCTCAGATGTATTTTTAACAACAGCAGCAGCCATGTTCCAGATGGATAATCCGGCGTAGTTCAATGCAAACTGAATTTCAGCACTGATTGAGAATGAAGAATCTAGTTTGATAAAAATGGATCGATGTAAGATACAAAACATCTTTGCTAATGTATGATACTATTGACTTTACATGCTTTGCAGTGTCCGTGTAGGTTTGCAAAGATGAACAGAAAAGCTGGCAAACATAATAAAACTTTTATCCCCCAACAAAGCTGCTTAAATTTATTTTTGCAAAGACTGAAAGTTTTGTTCATCAAAGATCATGGCATTAGACTTTCAAAGACTCTAATCCAGTGGAAAAGGTAAAAAAAAAATAAATAAAGCCAGTGCATTTCAAACCCTAAGAATGTGTCCTCAGGAACGCATATTTGATTCCCGAGATGAACCTTCCTTATGGCATCGAGCCTGTCGTTAAATCCCCTCCAGCCGCTGAAACACAAAGAAGCGTGCTCTGCTGCGTGAGCAGCATTGTCTTTACCTGGGGTTTCCAGTGGAGAGGATGGCTGTTGAGCTCAATAGCTCCTCATACAGATCAGCACCTGACACAGGAAATGCTGTGTGCTGGGCTAGCAGCACTCGGCGGATGGCAAACAGAGCCTGAAATAGAAAAATTACAGCATATGAGGCTCACACAAATGTTGCATGGATCAGCTGCAACACAAAAACTCGGTGTTGCCAGATTGGGGAGTTTTATTTCTAGGCCATTTTAATTATAATCCAAATGCAAAAATTCAGCTTGTCTTCATGTGATTAGAAGGATATTTTTTAATAATGCCCTCATTCATCATTTGCTTCATAATTAAAGTAAATGCCAGATCTTGGTTTTGCTCCATGTCATATCACTTTAGATGGAAAAAAACAAGTTGAGACAGTGATATCGTGGATTATTTTTTAAGCTTCATTTTGGGCATACTATCCAAATGGTTGCAGGGACTAGCAGTTAGTTTAATTAGCGAATCAGCTCAGTTTCTGCCAGTATTCCAGCTCAGCCGCTACAAATGAGTACAACTTAAAGGAAAGAGCTGAACCCTTGACCCCAGCTGTGAGGCGATCTCTTGACTCTTTTAAGCTGTAGGGGACATTTTTCTTGCATGGTTTGGATCCACTTCTGTTGACATAAAGTCAAATCAGTACAAAGTTGTTCTGAGTGATCACCTTTAACCTACAATGAAACATTTCCATCCTGATAGGAGCGACCTTTTCAGGATGATAATGCCCGCCCATCCAAAGGGCACCAGCTGCCCCAGAATGCTTTGGTGTGTGTGAAAATGATGCAAATCGTATCCTAACTTTGAAGTTAAAAACTCTCAACACAATTGATGACGTCCATGTTAGAAAATGCTCACCACCTCCACCACATCAACACCGTCTCAAGATAAGTCAGTCGTAACGTGGCATTCAAAGTCTGACTTTCTCATTACCACCAGCAATCAATTCGAATTGCAAAGTCACGACCAACATGTAGGAAACATGCATGTCAGACGCCACTAAATAGACAGGAAGCAATAAGCTGGACACAACAATGAGCAGCTTATTGAAAGATTGCAATAACAAGAAATCCATCTGAACTAACCAAAGAGCCATCATGGGACAGTTGGTCTAACTTGGCTCCGATGTTGACTAAACAAGAAAAGCAGGTGAATCATCTCCACAAATGTCAACGATAGCACTGGGATGCCAGCCCCTTTGATGGATATTTCTTTTTAATTAAAAAGTGTGTTTGCTTTGGAAATCTTTTTTTCCATGAATCATTTTCTGAGCTCATGTCAAAGCAATATTTATTTCCAACTCAACAGCTTCTTGATTGTTAGCAAGTTATACCGCTTGGCAATTAGTGTTTAGTGCTTACTGTATTCAATTAGCCAATTTTCTTATGTTGGTTAAAACCCCCAATATATATTTGTTATAATTGCCGCAAAGCAGCACGTGCTAGCAGGCAAGTCGTACTCACATGTGAATACAAGTGAATGCTAGGACAGGAGGTGGTAAAGTCTAGGCTTAGTTAGGTCGCCGCAACCAACCTGAAGTAAATTCAAAAGACTGTAAAATAAAGACCACATCAGGACCACGCTTAATGAAGACGAGTTGGTGCAACCGAATATAGTGTTCAAAGAAGATATTCGATTTCTCCAGTAGAATTAGAGACATTTTTAAAAGGCACACTGAAGCTGTCCTGCTATAATAATAACCAGTCGGCATCATCTTAGTCTTTGTGTTGGTATTACGTTGAGATAGGGGCACCAGCCAAGCAACAGCTTCCTTACTTTCTTTCTCTATTCTTAATTCCACCGGTGACACCGATAAGCTATCCTGACACAGTATTATTACGGTGTCACTGTATAAGAAGTGTTCTCACTGCCCAATACATTTATCAGGCAAAGTACCAGAAGTGAGCCAGTCATGATTACAGCGGGGGTATCTTCCTTTAACAGTCGTGTCTGAATGAAGGCTCCCCTAAGACGTGGACGATTTTTACTCTGACCTTTACTTTGTGTGTGCAGATCTCGTTTGTGCCAACAGCAATGCCAAATGTCAACATTGGGTAGTGGGATTGAACACGTTGCACCCAAGCCTTTACCTAATGCAGAGACTCCCTATCCGAGTCACTTCAGTAACACTTTTTGTTAACATTTTTGTGTTTTCTTCAATACTTTCATTGTTCTTGTAAATTCAAATGGACAATAATGTCTTAATAAAATCAAATTATACTACACAGATCTCTTACTTAACATAGAAAAATAAGTAACATCATACAAGTTGCTTAGCTGGCAAACAAGTCTCTATAGATTCTTTACCCAGCGTTACATACAGTTAATTTCTCCTTTGCTTTCTTGCTCCAGATCTAGTAATGTTAAAGACGCAGGTGTATGTAGAATAGAATACTGCTAACAATTCAATACGTCATTATTGCTCTCCAATGCCATCATCCCTCATGATCTTTGGTTTTCTGTTTTAAATAAAACATCCCTGCATGTGTGCACAGAGCTGTGTTTAGCTTCAAGTTTACTGTAAAACTCCGACCGTATTCCACTGGCTCCTCCAGCATCACAGCTGCACAAGAACACTGCTCACTAAGCAGGCTGATGTGTGATGCTTCATATGAAGCTCAACTGCAAAAATATCAAATGCTGGGCAGTCCAGCTTTCTCTAGAAAGAGCACTTAATGTTGTTAAGCAGAGTTAAACTCTGATTAGTCTCTCCTTCTGGGCAGAGAGGATTTCCTGTTAGACTTCATGCCCAACAGCTGAAATTTATTTAGGGAAATCAGACAAATCTGTTGGGTCTCAATTAGTGGGAAGAAGGTTGGCACTCCAAATTTGGCTTGTGGGCTCATGAGACAGGTATGTTTTTACATGAAAACTTCGTCTCGTGTAGCTTTAATTTAACTGTAGGAGGGCGCTTTAGTCAGATAAATGTATAGGTGACCTAGCATTGACCTCATCTCTGTTGTGTGGGCAGGACAACGGTTCAGATCAACAGCAGGAGTCTGATGGAGCACAGGGATGCCCGGTAATCAGCTCAGGGGATGCCTGCAGGCTGAGCAAGCTGGTTAGAAAGTCTAGCTCGGCCACTGGGATGAGCCTGAGCCTGCTGCAGGCAGTGATGGAAAAAAACAATATTTGAAAAGCATAATGATCTAATGGGGAAAACATCTTCAAAGTCTCTCTCCATTATAAAAATGCATTTTGGTCATTATTTCTCTTACACGCTTTACTGTACAGAAACAGGAAGATGTTTTTCAAATTAGTCAGGTGAAGGTTTCCTCCATGAAACTGGCTTTAAAAATGTAGAAAGTGAAATTACAGCGAGGCTATATGGAGAGATATGGTGCAAGTGTAGAAGTATGGAGACGGCATAACTTATTTTGCACCTTTCTAAATGTTCTCTTGCAATTTCTTAGCTTTTTAATCCCCCTGGGGCTGCAAAATTTTCATCCTATACATGTTCAGTCTGCATGTCCAGACACAGAGACCACAGAGGATGGTTGACTGACGGAAATGCTCACTCATCTTTTTACCAAGAAAGTCTGGGTTGGCTTCAGTGTCCCATCCACCCACACAAGTACTCCCCGATACACTTTTATTTATAAAACCCTCCCGGGTACCCTTCATGATCATTTGTGTTCTTATATCTCCGAAAAGTTTGGTGGAAAACACTATTCATGGTCTAAAAAACATAGTTTACCGTTATCTGCCCAGAAGGCCAGTTCTGAGTTAGACAGGATTTCTTTCATGATCTCTGCCTTTTTTCTGGTTCTCACTGCACACTGATTTAAAACTAAGAGAGCTGACCTATCGTTGCAGGTTCAGACTGATAATGAAGGACTTTGTGGGGGAACTCAGAAGGAGGTTTTTAGCTTCTTTTTTAGCTAGAAAGTTTATCACCGTTTATCATTTTCTGTGGAAATATAGATATCGCTTTCATTTCTTTTTAGATACATTTTTCATGCTGATATTCTATTATATCAACACAAAGCATAAAACCAGTTTTAACTGCAGATCTGGACAAAAAATATAGGAAAGGATAGGAAGCAAATGTGATGCTTAACCTTGATTTAACCCAGTAATAAAAAACAGCCCTTCCTGGCTTGTTAACCAAATGAGCTTGTTTGCAGTGGGTATATATATAATGCACCCAGTGGGAGGTCTGCTTCCATTATGGATGACATTAAAAAAGAAGGTATCCCACATAATAATATAAACCACTTACACAATGGGAAACTCATGCTGCATGTGGTAGTGTGTATCTAAGCTCAGGAAGATACTGGCCTACAGTGTTTATGCCAGCTATAACATGTGGGTGATCTCTGTGTTAATTTAAAGGGCATCTTTTAAGCTAATTTCCTAATCTAGAATTTCAATTCTTGGACTTATGCTAGAATAGCTTTGCAGGACTCACACCCACAAAATTTTTATCTTATCTCCCATCTAACCTTTGTGCAGCTCCTTAGTTCATCCACTTTCTCAAACATGCCCTTTTAGACAACTCTCTGCTGACTGGCTGGACCAAACAAACAGGTCTCATAAAAGCTGTGCACCTGAGATGACCAAATTAAGAAGATTTACTCTCTTTGACATCACACCCAGCCAAGAGTAGAAAAAAAACTGTCTGAAATTGCAGGTTTAAAGCAGTTGCCTGAGCTTATGACTCATAGGGATTACTTGTACATACACGGACCTCATTATAAGAAAGTTTGGCCATGTTTAATATGGACTGTGGCAGAAAATGAGGAGCAGCATTACAAGCCCACTTTAAATTCCTTCCTAACACCACTAAATAAACTGCTGTGATAGGGATAATTTCGAGGCAGCACCCCGATTAAATTGGAGTAATATGTTGGGTAAGCTGGAAACTGACAGTGCACTCTTGTAAGGGTCACTATCTCGTGTTTTTAGGGATCTATGATTAGGATTAAAGTATACATACCTTATAGGATACAGAACATTTCTGAGCAAGGCCCTCAATGTCTGATGAAACCAGGTCCTCCACTGTGAAACCAAGAAATCAGATGTGTTATCGATAACTTGTCTGTGATTAAGCTAAAACGGACACATTGCCCCACAAACTCACCTGTTTTAATATCAGCAGCACAAAGGTCGCGTAATAAGTCTTCATCCAGTCCAGGACACATCCCCTCTCTTAGTACGACCATGGTCTTGCATATTTTAAGATTAATTCATATGTGACTGAAAACATCAGGACGCATGATGACGCTTCTAGTAAAAAGAGGTTACCTAACTAACTATACATATGCAGCTAGCTACAGTTGTTTTTAGCTTTCCCAGCCAGTTGTTTTAGCTTTGCGGCTAACTTTGGCAAACTCTTCCGCTGTTTGCGTTGTTAAAGTCGGTATAAATAACCGTTCCTAACATTTAAAACGTAACAACACCAGGTGAACTAACACAGGCACACTTCTACAAAAACTTCTGCTTAACTTCGTTATTAGCGTACGCGGAGGCGAGGGAAAATACGCGAAGGCTTGTTGCTTGCCGTAGGATATTTTGCACTCATTCGCTTGTGGGTAATGTAGTATACTGTTGTTAAGGCGTACGTTAGCCTATTTTTGCATAGTATTTAACACACCTGTAACTGTCGTGGACTTAAACGATTTGTCTTCATTAAATCTTTGACTTAAACGAAAAACTGAAATAAAGTTGTAGAAAAAAAGACATTTTCTTGGCTCTCTACCTCCCGGTCTAACATACCCCGGCTCTCTCTCCCTCATAGAACACATCACTCATACATGCAGGGTCTTGATGGAGGGTTGTAAGTGGTGTCGATCACAGTGGGTAGAGCCATTCACGTGGCTCTGCTGGCTGTACTGCGGCGACCTGCCCCTCCTTTTTAATTACACTATAGTCATTATGGTTCACAACATCACCACAACCATAGAGCCTTGGGGGCAGGTGTGTTAACTAGAGACTAATGGGTGGGGTTACTACCATAGCCCCATTCAACCCTTCACTGCTATCTGTCCCTTAATTTTATCTGCAACTTAAACATGGAGGGTCTTGGGGATGGGTGGAGGTGGGGACTAGCACTACAGTTCAGCAGAGGGGTGCTTGTGTCACACCCAGCACTAGTTTTCATACAGCAATACTCATCTTGTAAACTTTGTACACTCACACTCCACAGCACACCTGCACAACATAGCACATTCAACACTGACTGGAGGGGCATCTTCCTAAACCCCTGTTCCACACACCCTGCCAGGTACGGTGGTCTACGGGTGGTTTGTTTGGTGCTTTGGTTGCATCTCCATTAGATCTGTGTGCATGTCCCTGTATGTTTCCGCGTGTCATTAGTGGTTTGGTGGGTGGGTATGTGAGTTAGTGAGGGAATGGTGAGTGTGTGTGCATGGCTGGGCTTGTGTCTGAGGCTTGCTGAGCCTTGGCCTCTATGGAACATGGTTATGGAGGAAGGGGTTCATCCTCCCCACTGCTCCCTGCTGGCCACTGCTACCCCCCACTGGGCTGCAAGCACATGTTGGTTCCAGGGCACGTGGCTGGATGTTCTGGCGTGGTCATTGACCAACTCCCTTGGTGATCCAGAGTGGCTTGGACTTCATCCGTGTCAGGGGGAGGGGGTTCCTCTGGATTTATCTCTGTCCGCCTCTGGCACCAAGGGGGCGTTATTGCAAGTTCCCATCCTCATTTTCAGGTACATTTTCTCTTTCTCACACACACACACACACACACACCACAAAAAGACTATTGAAGTGTCCCAGGTGTTGTATATTTGTTTTGTATATTTTTATTTGTACTCTCTCCTTTTATAATGTCTTCCCCCTCATTTTTTTCTTGCCTGTCCTGTCTTAGACATAGTCATACTGTGTATACCACATATAATGTAATAAGTGAAATAACAGGAATAAAAATGAAGAAATAAGCAGATAAACCCTGAACAAGGGAGCCTGTAGAGAATTTGTAGAGCTGATCTTGAAGAAGTAAGCTGTGTTTGGGACAACAGCACATTGAGATCATAATTCTGATTGCAAAAGGATTTAAAAGAAAATGCTACATTCTAGTGGATAACAAGGTGATTGGGATCTGGAAGGTATTGTTTCTGCAGCCCTTTCTTTTTTCTTTTTTCTTTTAATGTATTTGTTTTACTTAGATACTCGAATTTTCAACATAGTAAGTGGAAAACTTAGATTTTTGGCATTTTCTAAAGTTTTGTAACTCTAAATTTCAAAATAACTATGAAAAACTTTTGAGTTATTTTCTAAAAAGTTTTGAGCTATTAGCTTTTTTTTCCAGTGACAAACTTCCACAGATTGAGTTTGGATAAAAATAATAACCGACAGTCTATACGGGTGAAAGGTTTGGCATCAATCACATGAAAAACAAATTCTGGCAGAAAAGAAAAATATGTATTTATTTGAATGCAGTTTTCCAGCTTATAGTAAATTGTTTTTTATTGTCTCAGGGGATGGTTTTCCACACTCAACTATTCCCTTTTTTTCTGTTGCATTAAAGCCTTTGTTATCTGGTGAGACGCTTGAATTCACTTTCATGAACAAAAGCAAGTCAAAATTTCCGTCCTTGGCTCAAAATGCTGTTTAATCCCAAAGCGATTCTGTTATAAAATTACACACGTGATAAATAAGAAAATGAAGAGAAACAAGTGTTACAGCCGTGACATAAGAATATCTATATTCTTCTATTCTTTGCTTCAAGGAAATAAAGCCTCACACAAACTCCATTTTGGATTTTGTTTTTTTTGGTCTATAGATTTGAAGGAATTTTTTTAGGTTTTACCTTGTCCCTTCCGCAAGAATCAGAGTTATCTCAAGTGCAGAAGTAGTCACAGCACTTTGGGCACTGAGTGTCCTGAGTGCCCTGAGTGCACTTATCTTAAGAGTGACCTCTTACCGAACAATACAGCGATCATAACTCTGTCACATGCTCATCATCACAAGCTCAAAAAGGAACTGACTGATGCTCAGCTGGCCACTCTTTCAACACATCTACCCGATTTCTATCAGTGAATCTGTGCTCTGCTCGGATGTGTTTCTGGAATGAAAGGGCAGTATCATTAGTACAGCTTTTATTTTGTCCATAAACAATATAATTTCTTCTGTAAGCAAATATTTCCCAGCCTGTATGAAACAAGGACACTATGCAGACAAGCTGTCATTTTTTTATACCTAAAAATCTTATTTTCTTTAGTTATTCAAAGTAATAATTTTCCTAATCTACAGGGAGAAGGGTGTGCTCAGTTTAAAATTTCATTCGCTGTGTGCTATATAAATAAAATTAGATTTATTAGATCTGATATCCCATGGAAGGGATACAAGACAAACTATGATTATGTCAGAGAGCTATAAAGATTCCTCTAAAAACCTTTTACGTTCCTAAATGAATTACATTAAAGTTACGGATAAAGAGCAGATACAGGTTAATCACTTGCTGAATAAATGATGAAGTTTAGGTTTGCACTGGTTTAGTTTCTGCTGTTCACTCCATTACCGAAGGCCTTTTCTGAAAGGTTATTTTTGCTTCCTGAACAAAATCCTTCTGTACATACTGTGGGCGTATATAAAGGAAACAAACTGGTCCGTGAGGTGCACAGTATGTAAGACGCCCTTTTATTTAAGCACTTAACTTAAATCTCATGCATGAAAATATTTTCTCATTAGTTTTACTAATATGGCTTAAAGTTGATCTCATTGATACTGAAAGCAGGATAAGGGCCAGAGGTGTCGAAGAAAATGAGGTGAAATGTTGTTTTAAATTTGTACGTGTGTGTGTGTTCTTGTAACTATAAACCTAAATTTAGTGAAAGAAAGTTAGAAAGGTATTTAAAATGACGCAGCGCCGCAGCAAAGGGAGGCTTAACTTGTATTTGACTAAGCAGATGATCAAGAGTGACTCATGCTGGATTCTGTGAACCGTGATTGGTTTTCAAATGAGACAAGATGGCTTGAGCTGCTGGCAGGGTGCTAAGATATTTGTTACAAGCAAGAAAAACCAACCAGGACTAGAACCCCCCCCC